TATATATATATATATATGTATATATATATATATATACATATATATATGCATATATATGTATATATATATATACTATATTATAAATAATATATAAATAGACGACTGTATATTTTAAGCGTGCATATATATATACATATATATATACATACATACATATATATATATACATATATATATAGATATATATGTATATATGTATATGTAAATACATTATATAATTATATATTTGTATATATACGTATATATATATACGTATATATATATATATATCAAAATATATATCTTTTTATGCTTTGTTTGGCTGCATGCATTTGGTCTTTCAGAGGGGCTGTTTTACTCCTTTAGTAGCCGATATACACTTTCAACCTCGCACTGCATCCTTATGCATGTCTTCATTTGATAAAATAAGGATTAACCCTGGCAATTATGCAGACGGCAGAAAAGTTTGGGCAGACGAAAAAGGTAAAAAAATTTTAAAAATTCAGACACCCTAAACCCTAAACCCTAAACCCTAAACCCTAAACCCTAAACCCTAAACCCTAAGCCCTATACTGGAAACCCTAAACCCTAAATTGTAAACCCTAAACCGTAAGCCCTATACTGGAAACCCTAAACCCTTAACCCTAAACCCTAAACCCTAAACCCTATACTGGAAACCCTAAACCCTAAACCCTAAACCCTAAATTTGGAATCTTAAACCCTAAACTGTAAACCCTAAACCCTAAATTGTAAACCCTAAACCCTATGCCCTAAAATGTATACCCTATACCCTATACTGTAAACCCTAAACCCTAGACCGTAAACCCTAAGCATATATCTTGCAGCGACACGTTGTGAGAGTATTAAACCCTAAACCCTAAACCCTAGTCATATATATATTTCTGTCTATTGAATTGATATCGTTAGCACGCTGTCTATACACCGGAGAAGTTGCTGAGTTGCATTGTTGCTGCTGCTGCTGCTGCTGCTGCTGCTTCTGGTGCAGGAGGCGACGCAGGAGGAGGAGGAGGAGCAGACGAAGCATCAACAGCAGCAGCAGTGCATGCATTGCAGCCTGAAGAAGTAGGAAGGCTGCTCGGGCCGTGGGGACAAAGTGAGGGGCTTTTTGATTTATTATCATTACAAGACAGACGCACATTTAAAGAAGGAAACGAAAAAATAAAACAGCTCTTTTTACCTCTTGTCGAAGAATTAAAACGTCATAAAAAAGCACTCAGAATCGGAGTTAATCATGGGTCAGACACTATCACTAACACTGACATTTGCATGCATGCATGCATGCATGCATGCAATGTGCATGCGTGCATCAATGTATGCATGTAATGTGCATGCGTGCATCAATTTATGCATGCAATCTGCATGCATGCATCAATGTATGCATGCAATCTGCATGCATGCATCAATGTATGCATGCAGCTATCAATACAAGATCCGTGCATGCGTGCGTGCATACATGCATGCATAGATGTTTCATGAATGCATGCATGCATGCATGCATGCTTATAATATATATGCACAGGCATGCATGCATTTTCCGTTGTTTGTTTGTTTGTCTGCGTTTTATTATTGCAGTTTATTTGTTTGTGTTTGTTCTGTTGTTTGTTTAAAGGTTTATTTTGATTTATTGTCTATACAGTATTTTCTTGTAAATAATGCATTAAGTTTCTTAGCTATGTATCATTGTTATATTGTACTAATATTATATTATATTATATTATATTATATTATATTATATTATATTATATTAATATTATATTAATATTATACTATACAATATTATATCATATTATATAATACTGTATTATATTGTATTAATATTGTATAAGTATTATATTAATCATATTATACTAATTATATTAAATTACATTATGAAGTACTTTATTATTATTAGTTTGTAAATGCATGTGTTTAATATATTTTATTTGTCTGTCTCCTTTTGTCTGCAGGTCTCTGTCTCTTCGTTTGCTGCAACACTATGGAGACACCCCGTTGGGGATGGTCTTATCAGGATTAGAGTTTGCGGATATATGTATATCTCAAAACTTTTATAATTTCGTCTTCTCTTTTAAAAGTAGCAGCCCCAAGACTATGCTGCATGCATATAGACTTGCAGCTTTATTAATGCATGCAAGAGGATATTTGTTTCCCCTTCATCTCGGTGTAACAGAAGCAGGAGAAGGTAAACATTATTATATAATTCTTATATATATATATGTATATATTTATTATATCTATATATATATAAATATATATATATATATTATATATTAATATATATATATATATATACAAATATATATATGTATATATATTATCATTATTTGTATGTTCCATAGAAATATATATATATATATATGCATCTATATGCATTATATGTATACGTATACACCTATAATAAATGCATATAATAGATATGTATATATATATATATATATATTTATATATATATATTCATATATAAATATATATAAATATATATATTTATATATTTATATATTTGTAATGTTATGCAGGGGAAGACGGGCGTATAAAGTCTGCTGCTGGGATCGGATCCCTTCTTCAAGACGGCGTTGGAGACACCATCAGAGCGTCTCTAACTGAGCCTCCTTGGTTAGAGCTGCCTGTGTGCAGATACTTGCAGCGCATGCAGCAGCACAAACAGCAGCAGCAGCAGTTGCTGCAGCAGCTGCAGCAGCAGCAGCAGCAGCAATGGGGCAGAAAGACGCAAGGGCACCGGAATGCTGCAACAGATACACCAGCAGCAGAAATATCTGCTGCTGCTGCTGCTGCTGCTGCTGCTGTTCCTGCTGCTGCTGCTCGACCTATCCCTTCTTTTAAGGAGACATTTCGCGATTTTAATGTCTCCATCAAAAGGAAATACCTCCTCCGCACGCGGGCAGCAGCAGCAGCAGCAACTGCTGCTGCAGCAGCAGGAGGGGACCCTGCAGCAGCAGCAGCAGCAGCAGCAAAAGAGGGGCTCAAGGGGGAGAAGGAGACACCTATCTTGCACAGAGACGGAACAGCAATTGTTGCTGTAGACCCGGAGGAGCTGCTTCATCGTGTGCGTATATTATCTTAAAGAGAGAAGCAAACAAACGCTGTCTCTTCGTCTCTTTCTTCTGTCTCCTTGCTGCTGCTGTCTGTCTCTGTCTGCTGCTTCTTGTCTTGTGTTTTGTCGTTTGCTGCGCGGTGTCTCCTTTGTCTCTTCTGTCTCCTTTTTATTTCGTCTCTGTTGTTTAATGTCTCCTTTATGTGTCTCCTCTGCCTTTTTGTTTGTCTCCTTTCTGTCTCCTTTGATTATCTCTTTAATATTTATTTTATTGTTTTTAATCTGCTGTTTCTCCTGTCTCCTTTGAGGTGTCTCCTTTGAAGTGTCTCTGCTGTCTCTCTTGTCTCCTTTCTGTCTCCTCGTTTGTCTTCTTTATTCTGCTGTCTCCTGTCCCCTCTAAACAGGGGACAATAGGGGATTGCTGCTGCTGCTGCTGCTGTGGCTGCTGGTGCTGCTGCTTCAGCTGCTGCTGGTGCTGCTGCTGCTGCGGCTGCTGCTGTAGCTTCTGTGTGCGAATTGCTGCTGTCATTTCTGATGCTGCGTTTGTGTAGCTGCTGCAATTTCTCAGTTTGCTGCTGCTGCTGCTGCTGCTGGAAGGAGACAACAGTATACTGTCTCTGTTCTGTTGCAAGTGTCTCTCTTTTGTGTCTCTTCTTTTGCTGCAGAGCTCCCTATACACCGCATTGGGGCTGCGCGTTGTAGGCGGCAAACCCTTCCGCTCTCAGCTGTCTGCTGATGCTGTATATCTTCGCTCGCTCTTCTTTCTATACCCAAATGATAACCAGCAGCAGCAGCAGGTGCAGCAGCAGCAGCAGCAACAGCAACAGGTGAGGCGGCACCAACATGAGGACCAACAACGGCGGGTGAAACACGAACAGCAGCAGACCGAGAAGCAGCAGCAGCAGCAGCAACAGGTGCAGCAGCAGCAGCAGCAGCAGGTTGAGATAATGAGGGAGCGTCTCCTCAAGGCTAGAGAGACACTTCGCGAGCTGCAGGAAGCAGGTGTAAGTATATGGGCGCAGGCTGGGGACATACAGCAGGTGCAGATGGCTATGGAGCAGCAGCAGCAGCAGCAGCAGCAGCAGCTCCTGCTGCTGCAGCGGCAGCATCAGTTGCAACGTCAGCAGCTCGCACAAGAGAACTACAACAACCAAGAGCAGCTGCAGCAACAGCAGCAGCAGCTCGAACAGCAGCAGGAGCAGCAGCTGCGGCTGCTGATGCAACAGCAAGAGCAGCAGAGGAGACAGCTGCGTGAGGCTTCGCTGCTGCTGCCGGGGTTCGTAGTGGTGCAGCGGCTGCAAGATGCTGCTGCTGTCAGCCCTTATTTAAATGCACAATATTTAAAGGAGACAGCTGGCGCTGCACTTGTTGCTACTGGAGAGGAGACACTTCAGGAGTTCAAAGCAGTTCTTAATAGACCCGTGAGTCTCCTGCTGCTGCTGCTGTTGCTGCTGCTGCTGCTGCTGCTGTTCGTATTGCTGCTGCTGCTGCTTGTGTCAGTCCTTCTGTTAATGCTGCTACTGCTCTTAGTTTTGCAGCAGCTGCTGCTGTTATGTTGTTAATGCTGTTGCTGCTGGTAGTCTTGCTGCTGTTGCTGCTAGACCTGCTGCTGCTGCTGCTGCTTGTCTTGTTGCGACAGCAACAAGACAAGCAGCAGTTTCTGCTTCTTTTGACTTCTGTCAACTGCGCTTGCTTCTGCCGCTGCTGCTGCTGCTGCTGTTGCTGCAGGAGGTGATATGTTTGCTGCTGCGTCCGCGTGAACGAGGGGTTGTAGGTGTAGCTGCAGGGCGACGCGTATATGAGTTAGTTCAGCAGATAGAACAAGAAGGAGACAGCAGCAAACCAACTGTCTCTTCTCAGCAGCAAACAGAGAAGCTCTCTATGCCTATACTTCAGTGGATTGAAGCCCCACCTCAACTAAACCTAAAAGATATTAAAAAGACAGAAGAAGGAGACAACAAGGAGACAGTTAAAGAAAAAGATAAAAAGGAGACAGTTAAAGAAGGAGACAACAAGGAGACACAAGAGGGACAGGGAGATGTCTCTCCACAGCACGCGGTAACAAACTTAAAACGCAGACATACACCTCAATTTATTTTAGACTTCATGCACACTCGCATGCATTCATATATATATATATATATGTTCATATATATATATATACATAGGTGTATATACATGTATATACATGTATATATATATAGATTTATGTACATATATATAATATATATAGTATATATATAGTATATATATACACTCGCTTGTATATATATATATATATACGAATGTATATTTATATTTATATGCATTCATAAATATATAATATATATAAATATATATATATATATATATGTTTATGTTTGTGTGTGCATGCAGCTGACGCTGTTTGCAGCGTGGGAGTCGGGATCGCTTTTGTTGGATGGATTGGGATCGGGTATTTTAATTGATGCACCCCACACTTTGTCTCCTTTGCAAAGGAGACACCTGGTGTTTAATCTGCTGCAGGGCTGCTGCATGCGCAGCAGCAAAACTGAGTTTATCTCTTGTCCGTCTTGTGGGCGTACTCTGTTTGATATTCAGGTATTCATACTTATCATATATATATAATATATAATATATATAATATATATTATATATATTATATATATATGCATATATATATATATATTATTCGATAGATAGATAGATAGATATATAGATACATATATATCCTTGTACTAACATATATATGTATATATATGTATATATATGTATATATATGTATACATATGTATATAATGCATTTATATGCAGATATGTATGTTTGTATGTTTATATATATATATATATACATATATACATATATATATATGTATATATATATATCCTATTGCATTAACAAGTGTGTAGAATAGCATTGTTTATATATGCATGCACAGGAAGAAAAGCAAAGAAAAGAAATTGCGTTTAAAACCTAATTTATATTTTTAAGCGCTTGTTTGTCTTAGCAAGATATAATTGACTTGCTGTTGTTTGTTGTTTGCTTTTGTTTGCAGACAGTATCTAAAGAAATACGCGAGAAGACAGGACATCTACCCGGTGTAAAGATTGCTGTCATGGGGTGTATAGTCAATGGGATAGGAGAGATGGGTGATGCAGACTTCGGTTAAGTTGGAGGAGCGCCTGGACTAGTTAGTTATTTATTTGTTTTGTTTGTTTTCTTTGTCTTCTTTGTCTTCGTCTTTGTCTCTGTCTCTGTCTTTGTCTTTGTCTTTGTCGCCTGTCTCCTCTTGTCTTTGTCTTTGTCTTTATCTTTGTCTTTGTCTTTGTCGCCTGTCTCCTCTTGTCTTTGTCTTTGTCTTTGTCTCTGTCTTTGTCTCTGTCTCTGTCTTTGTCTCTGTCTCTGTCGCCTGTCTCCTCTTGTCTTTGTCTTTGTCTTTGTCGCCTGTCTCCTCTTGTCTTTGTCTTTGTCTTTGTCTTTGTCTTTGTGTCTCCTCTTGTCTTTGTCTTTGTCTTTGTCTTTGTCTTTGTCTTTGTCTTTGTCTTTGTGTCTCCTTCTCTTGTTTTTGTCTAGATAATGTTCAGTTTAGTTTTGTCTCTTTGGCTGTCGCGCTGTCTCTCTTTTTCTTTTTTATGTCTCTGTCTCCTTCACTTTGTTTTTTTGTCTTCGTCCCTGTGTCTCTGTCTCTGTCTCTGTCTGTCTCTGTCTCCGTCTCTTTGTCTTTTTATATTGTTTATTTTACCTGTCTCTGTCTGTACTCTAGTGAGACATTAATATAATGTTTGTTTTATTTTCTTTGTCTCTTTGTTTGTTTTTACCCGTCTCTTTGTTTGTGTCTCTCTTTGTCTTCTTATACTTGTCATTCACTGTCTCTTTCTTTCTCATCCCTCTGTTTAGCTCTTTACATCTTTATATATTAATATCTTAATACCCTTATCAAGCTGCCTATACACCTCAGCCTTTGTTTTTCTTGCTTTGTTTGTCTGCAGGTTGATTTATATGTGGGGCGTCGCCTTGTACGTCGCGGTGTACACAGCAATGAAGCCTGCGATGCATTAATTAATATCATTAAAGCAGAGGGACGATGGAGAGACAAAGAAGAGTATTAATAAAACAATTTATCTATAAACAATATACGACCCAACCCCTAAAGGGGCCCTAAACAGGGGGCCCTTTGTCTGCAGGTTGATTTATATGTGGGGCGTCGCCTTGTACGTCGCGGTGTACACAGCAGTGAGGCCTGTGATGCATTAATTAATATCATTAAAGCAGAGGGACGATGGAGAGACAAAGAAGAGTACTAATAAAACAATTTATCAATAAACAATATACGACCCAACCCCTAAAGGGGCCCTAAACAGGGGGCCCCTAAAGGGGCCCCCCAAATAGGGGGCCCCTAAAGGGGTCCTTAAACAGGGGATCCCCTAAAGGGGACGCTAAATAGGGGGGCCCCTAAAGGGCCCCCTAAATAAGGGGCCCCCTAAAGGGCCCCCAAAAGAGGGGCCCCCTAAAGAAGACCCTAAATAGGGGGGCCCCTAAAGGGCCCCCTAAGCAGGAGGCCCCTAAAGGGGACCCTAAATAGGGGGGCCCCTAAAGGGCCCCCTAAATAGGAGGCCCCTAAAGGGGCCCCTAAACAGGGGGCCCCCTGAATGGACCCCAAACAAAGGGGCCCCTAGAGGGGATCATAAGTGGGGGGCCCCCTAAAGGGCCTTATAACACAGGCCCCTAAAGGGCCCGTTATGAGGAGGGCCCCCCAAAGGGTACTTAAACAGGGGGGCCCCCTAAAGGGACCCCTAAACAGGGGGCCCCCCATGGGCCCCTAAAAGGGCCCCAATAAAGGGCCTCCTAAACAGGGGGGCCCCTAAAGGGTCCCTAATAGGGGAGCTCTCTAAGAGGCCTTCATATAAGAGGGGCCTCCTTCATATATTGAGGCAACATACAGAGGAGAGGCCCCCTGCATATATATTAGGGGCCCCCACAGAGAAGGGGCCCCTATGCCCCCTATATATATCTTAGGGGCCCCCACAGAGGAGGGGCCCCCTATTAAGAACCCCTTAATATCCGTTAGTGGAGGCTGTTTAATATCAACGCAAAGCTGTGGGGCTGGACAGTGCATGCATGCATGCATATTGCATGCATATTGCATGCATGCTGCATGCATACTGAATTATGATTTGCTCGTTTTGTCCTGTGACGTTTTGTTGCTGGTCTCTAGCTTCCTATTTATGCAGTCATTTATGCACATAATATATATATATATATATATATATATA